TGCAAAAGTCATTATTGTTCCTCAATTTCTATTTGCGGTAAAATATACAACAATTCTTAAGCTATAGTTATGTAACATAACTTATGTTATTTTAATGAGTTTTGGCACAAATTCAATGTTATTTGCAAATTAAAAAACTTTTAAAACAGTTCTAACACCTGAGCTAAGAATATGTCAGTTTTTATTAACAAAATTATGACTTTTTATAATTTCAGGTTTAGAAATGGATTAACTGATAATACACAGTTTATTCAAAATTCAAAATATGATTCAAAATTTCCATTAGATTTTTTATTTAAATCTCAAATGAGATATGATTTCAAAAGTATCAAGTCAATCGAGTTGAACAGTTCTCTCTTAATCAGGTCATAATCATCTTAAGAAATATAACTGTTAATTGTTAACATAATGGGTGGGATCTGCGGTAAGAGTGGCAACTGTTTTAGTCTAAACACCGATAAAAATAAGGCTAAAGAATTGAAGCGATCGTCAATTGATTCCAATTGCAGTTCTGAGAGAAATGGTTTCGTTTTGTTGGACACCAATCAGTCAGACGCTGAGCCCAAGAGTAGATCCGACTCCGCGACACAAATTGAAGCCAAACATCAAATCACTACCGAAAGCATTAATGGCTCAGTGAATGGCAATTCCACGTCGGGATCAGATATGCGCTCCGAAACGGCTTCACAGGAGCCACCGGTGGAGACCGTGAAAGTGGTTCACGAGGGCATCATTTGCGACAATTGCGATCTTCAGATCGAAGGCATTCGCTATAAATGTATGGATTGTTTTTTTGTTGGTTTTGATTTATGCGAGAAATGCAAACAATTGCCGTCAGTTCACGACCGGAACCATAAGTTTAATAAAATCGAGCGATACATTTCTCGACAGCCGATTCCACACAATTTGGGATTTTTTACAAAACCCAAACAATTTGCGTCAAAACTCCGTCCCGAGTCTCCCGAACCCAATTCGGCCGCCAATGCGTTCACTCATATCTCGACCGCCGATAAACGAGAAGCAGAGCAACGAAATGACTCGACAACCGATACGGCCAACGAAGACAAAGCCGACGAATCGCGCAGTGAAAAGTGTCCGCCATTTAATAAGGAAGACTTAAATTTAATTAGATCTTATGAAAGAGAACTGCCCGAATAAAAATACTGTAATACCGTATATACCGTATAAAGTATTGTAATAATAGTTTTTAATTAAATAAATGTAACAACAGTTTTTAAATATTGTATAAAAGTAATAAATGAATGTAATAAATATAACAAGATAAATGTAAATGTAATAAATAGTTTTTAATTTAATTTACATTAGTTTCACGGCTTCTATACTGATAATTTTGATTTAGTTTTTAAAGAGTGGTAAGTCTTACTTGTTAGAATAAATAACTTCTTAGTCTATAAATAACTATGGTCATTGTCATAACATTGAGACAATATTTAATTTCTAAAAATGTTAATTGTTACAAATGATTATTTTCTGTTTGTTTATAAATATAACAAATTTTGTTTTAAAATTATAATAATTAACTTCCGTTTTGATAATGAATTGAATCAATTTATTATTTCTAATTTCTCAATTAAATTAAAAATATAAATACAAATAGTTATGAAAATATTTTTACAAAATAAAAACAATGAAATGATGTTTCGATACAATGAGAGTATAGTGTTTGGTATTAAATACTTATTTTATTAATTGAAAACTAAATTGAAAATAAATTAAGTCCTATATATTAATAGCCTCTTAAGCCGTTGTAGGCTTTAGTTTTGGAGCTTTCATTGAGAATGTCTTTAATTTCCTTTTTGTGGTCTTCATTGAGCTCTCCTTTAGGGAACTCCACGTCGAAAGTGATGTAAAGAGTGCCGCGAAGGTTGTTGTTCTCGTAGTTAGGCATCCCTTCACCGGCTTTCCTAAGCCTAGCGCCGGGCCAAGTGATCTTATCGCGGCTCACCTGCACCTTATGGCCGTCCAAATGAGGTATTGTCATCGCAAAGCCCACCAACGCGTCGGTCAACGAAATGGTCACATTCACGTACAGGTCGTCGCCTCTCCTCTCAAACGTATGGTGAGGTTGCGTTCGGATTCTCACCTTCAGATCACCGGGTTCTCCATCGATGTGCGCCTCACCTGTCATATAGTAAACACACACATCAATCACACATACATTTGGTTACCAAACGAGTGGTGCCGTCAATGACAAGACAATACCTTCGGCCACAAATGTCTGCGTCTGTCCGTCTTTCATACCGGCCTCCACTTCGACCTCCAGTAACTTCTCCTCATTGGTTAACTCCATGTTCGGACAGTCGTCGCAGACCTGTTGCTGCATCATTTGGAACCTTCCGGGGCCTAACTGTCTGGTGACCATCTCTTGACGGCAATTGCATTTCCTGGTGCCGCGAGACGGCCGATACACAGCCTTATTGCGCACCACTTCCACAAAATTGCCCGAATACAGCTCCTCGAGCGTCACCCACAGGTCCATCACTACATCACCGCCTTTGGGTGTTTCGCGCTCTTCGCGACCTCTGCCACCGCCGCCACCGAAACCGTCGCCAAAGAAACCGAAATCACCGAAAAAGCTGGAGAACGGATCGGAGCCGCCAAACGAGTCGCTCTTCAGGCCCTCCTCTCTGTGTCTGTCATATGTTTTACGCTTTTCCGGATCCGATAGTACCTGAAGAATGGGACAAAGAGTTCAACAATTAGAGACCGGTGTCTGTTTGGTGTCTGTGTAAGAGGTGTGACTCTGATGTGTACCTCATAGGCGGCGCCCAAGTCTTGAAACTTACTCGTGGCGTTCGGATCGTCGGGATTCTTGTCTGGATGTAGTTCTTTGGCTAACTTTCGGTACGCTTTCTTGATTTGGTTCACATTCGCTGACTTAGAAACTCCTAAAATGGCATAAAAATCGCGTCTGAAATACGAGATCACAAACCGTTAGACAATGTAATCGTTTTGTATAATCAATGGTATAGTCATTGCAAACGCTTTAATCGTTTGCATAAATGATATGAAATGGCATTTAATTGTCATTGAATTGAACGGCGGTTTCAATACATACCCACACATAGTGTTGACGATTAATAACAATAATATTGTTAATGAAAATAAACACATATTTATATACATTTGATTCATCGCTAACGCAGTGATTGAGTGATTGTTTTGTGGCCCAAAAAATCGCCGCTAAATATAAAGCATTCAATGAATTAAAACTAAATTAATTGTAATTTTATAAAAATCAAAACCAAAAGTAAAAGTGGTTTTCAAACGCTATTAAACGCCGACTGATAGCGAGTGAGTCGTGGAATGCGTTCATTGGCGGAGACAGTGATGCAAACACTGCGACAGCCAATCACTGGCCGCCACTTCTCGGTGTGATGTCATACCAATGGTCTGCTATTGAAATGTGTTTTAAAACTTCACTTTAATTGTAATTAAAAAACTAAATGTTTTGCATTTTTAATGCATTATACGCTACACAAAGGCATAGCTATGGATGCCTTAAAAGCACTTTTAATGGTTAAGGTCTGAAATCATTATTAAAAGTAGATTTAAATACCAAAGTATAAAGAGTTTAAGAGAAGCTTCACATCACGTAATAGAGGCACTGATAACGTGCAGTCCTCGGTAGTATAGTGGTTAGTATCCCCGCCTGTCACGCGGGAGACCAGGGTTCGATTCCCTGCCGGGGAGCAATTTTTTGCTTTTTTAAAAGTTATTTTTTGTGTTTAAAAAATTGTTTTACATATTTATTGGTAATAGAAGATAATCATAATGAGCACTGGAATATAATAATCACATAATTTACTCATTATTATATTAAATTAAAAGAATATTTAATTTTACATACATTCTATAACTTATATAATCTATAAGCATGTACATTGACCATGGGCGGATTTTACGTCATGTGAATATTTAATAGCATTCATTCCTACGATTATTGATTAGAAATGCGTTTGATTTTCAATTTGTCAATTGATTACCATTTGAAATGTTATGCTAATTGTTTTCATTAAATTAATTGTTATACATTAATATTAATAGTGTATAATCAATAATTAAAGTGTATTATTTAATCGTTCTCTAATTAGTGTTAATAATTTATTTATGTATTTTGATGTAAAAATAAATTTACAACCAATTGAGATCATGTTTAATTATATGCTCAGTTCAGTAAGTAATTAAATATAATTAAACTATTAATTATTTATCAATAAGTTATATTACAATATTACAATAAATAATATTAAAAATTAAAAATATTCTTATAATATTGCAACTTTGTTTTTATAAAAATAAGCTAGGTTGATCATTCACTGGCTTAAAATTGAATTAGAAACTCTATGACAAACTGTATGAGAAATTATATTACAGTTATTTTAATATTACAAGGTATTTTTGATTTAAAACAAAATTTAATCAACTGTTTTAACGTCAAAAACGTCTGTCATATGTAAACATATCGACAGAAGACTTTCTGATACTTTCTTAACTATTTTTAACGTTAATTAAATACGAGACGAGAATAACTGGCAATCGATAGCTGCGATCGGTGTCGGCGTTGAGATGGAGTGAGTTATACCGTATGTGTTATGAGGCGATCGTATAGCAACTTCTGGTCCCTGTTTTGTACGCATATATCTATTGATATTCTTGTGATTGTGAAAGTGGTTGTGGAGGAAAAGTGCGAACCGCATACCAGTGATGGTAGTATTGGCTGATGTGCTCACAACTCAACTATAAATTAGTCCTCTTTTCCAATCGCTTTCTCTCTCTTTTCCAAATGTTAGGTTAGAATTATTTTTCAATTACTTTTCGTTTCTCTCCGCCAAACAATCGGTTAGTTTTTGCTTTCAATTCAAATGGTTTTGTGCGTCCAGTCGTCGGCACACAAAACAATTGCTAACAAATGATAAAAATTGTGTGTAAATTAAAATTTTGTTGCCAGTGTTTCACTCGCTTATATAATATATACCTCGTGTGTGTATACGTAAAGCCGATTCTGTAAATTCATTGCATCCTTCTATGAATATTCTGTTTGTTTATTAATACTTCACTCATTTATTTTGTTGATTACACTTTGAGAATATAATTCATGTGATTTTTCTGTGCTTTTTCTTGTGCTAACCATCAGTTTTTGTATACGATATCGTCTCTCATCTGACATAACTTTCAACCATAAAAGCAACAAATTATACAATAAATCAATATTCCGACAATTTTTTCAGTGTATACTTTTATTATACACGCAAAAGGTTGATATAAATAAGAAAATTCTTTAAGATATTATTCTCTCTCTTATGATGTGCTCTGAGTTGATGTGAAACGTGGGAAAAGAGTTGAAAAGAGAGAAGAATTGAAATAATTTGTGTTATTTTATATATATTTCTAAAGTTAAATGCGAAAAGTTTTTCGCTACTAATTTTGTTACCATCGATCCGTACAATTCATTTCGCCCGTCGAGTCGTTAGTTATTACTTCTATTGTTATTAATATTAATAATAAAATTGTATTGTATTTGATATAATACAGGGAAGAATGTTATGTGTAGTGATGTTATTCTCAAACAATATTTTTAATAACTTTAACGCCAATAAGGGTCGAGTGTTTGTTTCACTTATAGATATTATAAGTCATAAATATGTCCTCTTTTCACAGTCCAGTGCATAATATGATAGACTCTTCTTCGCTCTTTCACTGACTCTTCAAATCTTTATTCACTGATATTATTATTACGGCCGAGAAATGTATAATAATATAATGGATTCGTACTTCTGGTGAATAACAAACACCAGTCCATAATATATATAGTGAATGTCAGTTGCTTTTAGGGCTGACATTACTTTTAACAGAATCTAGTGAACAGAATATATTGTATAAAATATATTAGTGGGTTTGGAGAGTCGGAAGGGGCCACTCGTTAACAGTTAACCTGTGCTAACCTCATCGCTCACAACCGACTAACACACACTAACAGATCAATCAAATCAATTATAATAAAGTGCTGTATTATTGGCGCACAAACCCATGTCTAGTGCCGATAGAAAACGCAATTCTATGCGAAAGAGGCAAACAATGGGCAAAGAGAAGGACAGAGGGAAGTGTTGGTGTTGTCGAAGACTTCTTGCCTTTCTATTCTCGCACATAGGGCTCGGATTCTTAGTCTTTGCCTACAGTCTGGTCGGAGCCTTCATTTTTCGTCACTTCGAAGGTAAATATTGTCTTTATTAAGACATTATATCACATCTCGTTATAACTTTTGTAATACAATATCCTATTTATTTGTTACGATCCACTCATTCACTCATCTCTCGTCACTAACATGTCTAATAAATGTTTCGTTCATTTCTCTCATTCTGTATCTCTATTGTAGAGCCCTATGAAAAAGGAAAGGCATTGGAAGTGTTTTCAATACGAAACACAACTGTCCACAAGCTATGGACCAAAACACTGGAACTGAATGTACTTTACAAAGAGAACTGGACATCAATGGCATCGATAGAAATTGAAAAATTCCAACAAAACCTCATTCAAGCCGTGAGAGAAGGATATGACGGCAAACAAACGACGGGAACTTCCAATCATAACCAGTGGTCACTATTCGGGTCATGGATTTATAGCGTCACTGTTATCACAACTATCGGTATGTCTTTCTCTCTCAACAACAAATTCTTGCCTTTCAATCATAAATATTGGGTCAATTCTGTGGTTATTTGTGACTGCAATGCAAACACGAATGCCTTTTGTTATTTGCATTCGTTATTCAAACACAACCAAAAATCAGTGCAAGTGTTGCCAAACACCAGATCCTATACTCCAGTTCTACACAGTATTCCGTATATATTCTGTATTGTATGATATGATAAATGAGCCATAATTCCAATCGCCTTAAAAGTAACTGTTTTTTCTATTTAAATAATACTCAATAGTCATAGAGTAGTCATAGAGTTAGTCCTCAATTCCTTAGTCTCCTTCTTCTCGATCTTATTCTTTGCGTTTCTTTTGTTCTTCTGTTTGCTATCATTTGTGGAGAAGAATCTTGAATTCAATGCATTATTCAAATTGATCTCTGAGTTAACTGAGTGTAAGTCATTTCAGTGCATTTGGCATATTGTGTTTCGCACCACTCCATCCATGTGTGGCTCACATACAGTATACACACACACTATGCCATCCAAAGTGCCTTATGTGTGACTGCCGTGGATATGGTGGTGGATATGGGTGTGAAATCATCAAATCAGATACTGTTTGATATACTCTAAACACAAATGCGGGCTAACTCTCAAACACATACTGCGAGAGAGAGAGAGAGAGAGAAGAAGGAGACTAAGGAATTGAGGACTAACTCTATGACTACTCTATGACTATTGAGTATTATTTAAATAGAAAAAACAGTTACTTTTAAGGCGATT